AGAGGCTCTGGTCCAGAGGCTCCCTTGGGCCAAGCCTGCTGCTCTTCCATTCGGTGGGTACTTCATAAGAATACAGCTGATCTCTGTGTCATTTCTGAAGGGAGGATGCGAAAATTGGGATTCCATGTTGTCTTTCTTTGGGAAGTTGGGAGAAGTAGCCCGAACTTTATTGAATCCATTTGTCAGAGTCCAATTCAAGGCAAATAAAATGATAAGTACTGAGAGGAAAAAAGGATATATTTAGTAGACATGTCCTAGGTGTCTGTCTTTATGTCTGTTTCAAGCAATGTGGCCCTTCACAATTCCCCTTTTTATAAAATCATATACTAATTAGTATAGCCTTTATATAGGAAAAGGAAAGGTGCTTCAAATGATTAGCCAATCGTGAGCCTGTACTGATTGGGCTATGTAAATTTTTTTTTTTAAATATCAGGGCTAGTTTATGCTTTTGCCCCTTCTGGGGAAAAAGTCAAGTGAAATTAACAAACATTTATGAAGTGCCTACTGTGTGCTAGTAAAAAAGACAAAAGCCAGTCCCAGCCCTCAAGGATCTCACAGTCTGATGAGGGAGTTTACAGTCGATGAGGAGAAAAAAACTCTTTCATTAAAAAAAAATTATCCCACTACTCTCTTTAAAATCCTCTGCATCTCCTGGGGTTTTTAAAAAAATCTGTGATTGTGAACTCATTTTTATATTATTTTGATAATTAAATTTCAAAATAATTTGGTTTCGTTTATAATTCTATGAGTTTAAAAACATTGTTAGCTTTGTCCACAGGCTTCCTTAGACTGCCAAAGGGGTCCATGACACAGAGGAGCTTTAAGAACTCTGATCTAAAGAGATGCTCTATTTATTTATCACTTATCTATGTGTGCGTATGTATGTATGTCTGTATGTATCTATCTAATTAGGCAGCTCAGTGGTACAGTAGATCGAGTACCAGTTGTGGAATCAGGAAGACTCATATTCTTGAGTTCAAATCCAGCCTCAGACACTTAACTAGCTGTGGGACCCTGGGCAAGTCACTTCACTCTGTTTACTTCAGTTTCCCCATCAGTATAATGATCTAGAGAAAGAAATGGTGAAGCACTCCAGTATCTTTGCCAAGAATACCCCAGATGGGGTCACAAAGAGTCAGGAAAGCAACTGAACGGCAACTGGACAGCATCAAAGTAGGAACAAATGATTATTCTGTACTTTGGACTCTTAACTTGCCCAGTTTTCCTGGTGATCTCACTTCCACAATTTCCTCTTCTAGCATGGTGAATTTTTCTTTTCTATAGATTTTTCCCCCCTAGATATGATGAGGTTTCCTTTATCTTAACTTTGCTTGACCCAGGTTACCATTGGTTTCTGCCTCTGTAGTTCTACCCAAACTGTTATCCCTTGCTTGTTAAAATCCAGTCACCTGATTCCCTACTTGAAAGTTGCTCAGACCCGTTAATTTCCTGGTTCTCCTCTTATGCTGTTACTCACCTTTTGCCTCCTCTTGGAGGAGCCTGTGCCCCTCGCTAACTCTCTTGTACTCCTGCCTCAGATGAGCTCAGCCCTGGGCTTCTGCCGTTCTTGAAGCTGCACACCCACCTCTCACTGGGACTCCAGCCCCTTACTTGGAACTGTCCATAGCACCTGCAAGTTCTCAGACTCAAGGTATCAAAAAGAAGATTCATCAGCATCTCATCTACCACACACCAGATGGCTGTTCTTTCCAATTAGGACCATAGGATTTAGAGCTAGGAGGTTAGAAGTCTTATTGTTCAATTTCCTTATTTTACAGTGGAGGAGACTGAGGCTCAGAGAGATTGTATTTTCCTTAAGGTGGCCTCAGTGGCAGAGAGCAGAGCTGGGTATTGGCCCTAGGATCTCTGACTACAAATCCAGCAATCTTCCTACGAGGCCCCAAGGTAGACAGCCTCTTAGTAGGAAAAGAGCTCTGGCTTGGAAAACTGGGGACTCATGTTCTAGACCAGGGTGGGCCACCAGTCACTTAACCTCTGTTTCCATGTTAAGTGAGGGGATTGAAAGAAGCATTTCTTCTTTACCTATCATTCTTTTATTTTGGTGATACTATTTCTGCCATTTATTAAAGAGTGTTAGTTCTCTGACATCTCTAACTCTTTTTCTCCCCCTCATCACCATCCTCACCCTCTGGTCTTCCCCCCCCATGGGGTTTAATGACTTGCCCAGGGTCATGCAGCTAGTAAGGCCAGATTTGAACTCAGGTCCTCCTGGTTCCAGGGCTGGTGCTCTGTTCACTGCCCTACCTAGCTGCCCCCCTTTTATTGGGTTCTGTTATTTATTTCTTGGAAACATTAATTGACAATTTATTAAGGGCCTACCATGTGTCATACCAGTCCACATTTTCTTCGTTTTCGGTACTGCAGGTTTACTTCCTTATCACTCTAATAGATTTCTAGTTAATCTCCCAGCTTCCAGACTCTTTCTTTTTCTGACTACTATCCTAAATATATGTGTGTGTATATATTTTTATGTGTATGTATATGAATATGGGCAGCTAGGTGGTGCAGTGAGTAGAGCACCAGGCCTGGAGGCAGAGACACAGTTTCCTGAGTTGAAATCTAGTCTCAGACACTTACTAGCTGTGTGGCCCTGGGTACGTCACTTAACCCTATTTGCCTCAGTTTCCTCATCTGTCAAATGAACCAGAGAAGGAAATGGCAAATCACTGCAGTCTCTTTGCTAAGAATGCACTAAGTGGATCACGGAGAGCCAGACATGACTGAACTGGCTGAGCAGCAGCAATAACAAAAGTGTGTATAAAGATTTCTTAGAATGCCGTTTTTGTTGCTAGCTGTGTGACCTTAGGCTAGTGCAGTGGATAGATTTTTGTGTACGAAGTGGATGGTAGAATTGAAGGTGTAAATTTGGTGCTGTACCTCAGAACGCAGATTTTAGATTTTGAGAGGTAGCATTTAACGAAAGGGAAAAGTAGGAAACTCCAAGGAAGGACTTACCCACCTCCTGTGTTTATTGTTTCCCAGTGAAAGACTTCTTTGACCTGGAGACTGAGGAAGCGCTCAGGCTTCTGGCGGTGTCCTCGTGAATCTGAGGAAGTCTCCCCTTCCCTGCAAAGAGGTCACATCTGGCCCCGGAGGAACATAGCAGCCTGTGCTCTCCCCATGTTAGGAGGCTGGTGCCAGGGTCTGTGAATGTGCACGTGTTTGGAAAAGTGTCTGGCTCCATAAGCGTTGGGTGGTGGCGTTCATCTTCTCTCTGGCGTGCTGGTGTTGCCCGTTAGTAAGAGCTCTAGTTCTTTGGCTGTGACAGTTTAACCTTCTCTGCCTAAGGGTTACCTGACTTGAGCATTCAGTAACAACCTTTCAGGCGATTTCTAGTATTATTGCATGTTAGGTTAGAGATGGCCTTTCCTAAGGCTCACGTTAGTCCTGCTTTTCCCATTGGCACCATGTCCATGCAGTCCACATCTGTTTGGCCTTGAGAATGGCAGAGACAGGGGCAGCTAGGTGGCACAGTGGATAGAGCACCGGCCTTGAAGTCAGGAGGACCTGAGTTCAAATCCAGCCTCGGACCAAACACTTGACACTTACTAGCTGTGTGACCCTGGGCAAGTCGCTTAACCCCAACTGCCTAAAAAAATAAAAAAAATAAATAAAAAATGAAAAACAAAATAAAAAGAATGGCAGAGACAACACAAGGGTACCATGAGGCCTTGTGACAAATAAGCCAGGGCTAGGAAGTTAATTTAATTAAAAATAGTGTCCCTGTGCTTCCTTTTTACTTGACTCCTCAGGGCTGGTGGCAGTGGCAGTGTTGAACTAGGAATCTATAGAATGGGGTTTTCCTCCCAGTCCTGTAAACTAACAAACACAAAGCAAGGTGCTCATAGGTGAGTCACTGCACTGCTCCGCTTCCTCCCTCTGCTGAATGAGGGAGTGGGTCTGTGGCTGTGAAGCATCTGTGGCTACTTCCAACTCATTCTGTGATTGATGGGGCAAATTTCCATGATTGGTGAAATATGTTTCCTTTGGTATGCCAAGCCTTAGACTTTTGTCTTTTACTTGAAACTTTGGTGATGTGCTTACTGTTGTATTATCATAATGCAGATCTTAGTTCCACAGCTTTATTTTTTCTAGTATCAATAAGTAAACACGTATTAAAAATCTGCTATATGCCAGTCACTGTGCTAAGAGTTCTGGATGCAAAAAGAGACAAAAGACAGTCCCTGCCCTCCAAGAGATCACAATCAGATGGGGGAGACGACCTGCAAACAAGTATGTACAAGCAAGCTGCGTACTGGAGAAGTAGGAAACGAGGAGCCAGGCCTGGAATTGAGAGGAGTTGGGAAGGACTTCCTGCAGGGAATTGTAGTCAGAGATTTCATGGATTGAGTATGGGGTTTTAGTTAGGACCTAAAGGAAGCCTTGGAGATTACTAGGTGGAATTGAGGAGACACAGCCAGAGAAAATGCCTGGAGCCAAGAGAATGGGGAGTGTCTTGTTCATGGTGCGGCCTGGAGGCCAGTGTCACTGGATGGAAGCATATGTGTGGGCAAGGGGCTCGGTTCTGAAGGACTTCGGATGCCAAACAGAACATTTTGGGTTTGCTTCTGGAGGCAGGAGGGAGCCCCTGGAGTGACATGATCAGACTTGTGATTTAGGAAAATCACTTTGGTGACTGAATGGAGGATAGATCAGAGTGAGGAAAGACGTGAGGCAGCTGGCTAGCAGGTGGGGCAGTGTTAGAGGAAAGAAGGGCCATATTTGAGTTGCAAAAGTGAACTCAGTCCTTGGTGACCGCTTGAACGTGAGAGAGTGAGAGAGATCGTGGGGAGTCCAGGATGATTCCTCAGTGGTGAGACTAAGGGACTGGATGGTGTTGCCCTCTGCAGTGATTGGGAACTTAGGAGCATGGGGCCGGGAGGAGCGTTTGGAGGAAAGATTATGCATTCTATTTTGGACATAATGAGTTTAAGGTGTCTACTGGACTTACAGTTTGAGATATCTGAAAAGCAGTTGGACGTGACGGGTTGGAGGTCAGTAGAGAGATTGAGGCAGAATGGATAGATTTGAGAATTATCAGCACAGAGATGTTATCCTTGGACCTGTGAAACACATTAAAAAATAGATTTTTATTGGTATCTCTTTTGTTTTTTCACCACTTACGTTTCCCCCCATCCACCTTCTCCCCGCTCCCGGAGGGCCATCAATGTCTTAGAACACTTTTTTTTAAAAAGAGGAAAAAATTTCATCAAAACCAACTAATACATTGAAGAAAGCTGCCATTATTTGCAGTGGAAAGCTCGTTTTTGATAGAAATTGTTCTTATAGATACCCCCTTCTATTAGTAGAAATTGGTATTTCAGTGGTACTGCATCATTATGCTAGTAAGAGTATGAATTATCTTGCCATGTTAGTGCTTAAAAACATTCGGCCTGTATGCTTCCTGGTCCTGCTCTTGTCTTTGTTGGGAGTCATATCAAGGACATGAAGGACAGAAGGATTGGGAAGGAAGTTTGGGAAGGGGATTGATTGTTCTTGGGAGCAAATAGGAGGAAGATTTGTGGCCAGTTTAAGGTTTCAAAAGCTTTGAAATCAATACCCAGCTAGATTTTGTGAGTTTTAAATATAGCTTTTCAAAGAATTGACTTGTATTTATGAAAATGTTGGCATGTTTCCTCTGTCTCATTTAAAATCTTATGCTTGAGGGTGGGGAAGCAAGGAGGACTCCATCCTATTATAGAAAACTGTAATTCATATTTTTGTTTTTGACCTTGAAGGGCAGTGATGTTAGCAGTTTTTTTTTCTTTTTCCTAGAATAGAAAATATTTAGCATTGAAAAGTTTGAACATTAAGTTGATGTTTAGAATAGTTGCTGTACTATAATAGAAGCTCTAATAAATGGACACAGAGCAGTTCTGTGGGGCTGTGTGTGTGTGTGTGTGTGTGTGTGTGTGTGTGTGTATGAGAAGTGTAAGTGTATAACAGACAAGAGGCAACATGGCAGCTTCTGACAGGACCATCACTGGCAAGTTACGGCTCATCTTAGTGTCCTGGGCAGCTTCCTAAGGATAAATTAGAGATGAGTTGCCAATCTGTGTCAGTGGCCAGAGATTGCAAACTAGTAGGTCCCTCCCTTTGTCACTGAAACCACAAGTCTGGAAACACACACACACACACACACACACACACACACACACACACACACACACACACCCCCCCCCACCCTGTAGCGCATGCACATATAAATACAATTCAACACATGAAATACTTAAAATTTCAAAAATTCTGGTATTTATACTGCTTATATTTAAGAATTTTAAAGTGTTCTCATGTTGACAGTTCAAATGAAAATCATCTATGAAATAGTTTGGTAATTGAAATTTTTTGAAAAATGACTTTTAAATAGTTTTGTTTTTTTTTCCCTGGGAAATAATATCAAAAGAACTTCTGTTCCAACAAAAATCCAGACCCACATGGAAATCTGTTCCATTTGTTGCCTATTATAGAGCTGGAGTTCTTTAAAACTTGAAATATTTTTCCTAAAAATGGTACTGATTAACTTACAGTAGTTATACTTTGAGGTACAAGCTTCTGATTGCGTACTTTCGTTTAACCACAATCCAGCACTTTACTTTAACATCACTTAGGGTTGCCAGTGAAAGACCCTGGAAGCTGCTGCCTGTTTCTGGTCCTGTTTTATTGATTTTCAGATTCATTCTTTTATATCCCAAAGAATTTCACTTTTTTTGAGGAAGCATAGCTATGACCACCATCTAAGCTGTGTGCTTCAGAAAAGTGAATGGCATTTGGAAAGTCTTGTTCCTGTGGACATGGGGTTTCAAACACCTTGATCTGAAATTTTAAATTAAATTTTACACTCTGCTATTGGGGAAATGAGGGCTTCCCAAGGTCAAGGTCAAACTGTAGATCCCTTCCTGAAAAACTCTCTTAAGGGACTTGGGAATTTAGTAGTAACCTGTTAGCATTAACACTGTAACTTTCTGAACCCCTTTTCTGGTAGGTGGTGACACTCTTGCTTCTTTTTTTTTTTGTATTTTTTTTTTTCCTTTTTAGGCAATTGGGGTTAAGTGACTTGCCCAGGGTCACACAGTTAGTAAGTGTCAAGGGTTTGGTCCAAGGCGGGATTTGAACTTGGGCCCTCCTGACCTCAGGGCCGGTGCTTTATCCACTGCGCCACCTAGCTGCCCTACTTCATTGTCTTCGTGCTGGGTTAACAGAATATGGGGTTACTCTGGGGGGATGGGAGAAGGAACACTGGGCTTAGAGTCAGAAAGACCTGGGGTGGGAGGGTGAATGCTACTACTTTTGCTGCTTCATCTCTGTATGGCAGCATTGCCTAGATAAGGGCCAGGGAAATGGACCCAGGCCAGTGGGTTTGTTGGTCTTTTCATTCAGTGCAGATAACTTTCCAGTTCCTGCTTGACCCTCTCTGGAGTACACCCCAGACCAGTCCTCAAGTTGTTATTTTCACCATCTTTATTCTACTTTACTTTCTCCTCAGCATGTTTGGATCTTTGATACTGACAGGCTTCAATTAACCCTTCTGTGCAGATTAAATTAGAGCACTAAGGCCACTTGTAACTTGAATTTTGGCTAATAAGGTAAATCCGAAGAGATCTGTTGCTTAAACCCATATTCTATTTTGAGGCAGTAACTGCTAACACAGTGACTACCGAATGGCCTGACAGAAATGTAGAAATGATGGCAGTTTTAATATTTTCCTTTAATCATAGTTCTACGTTAGATTAACTTTGATGTCCTTATTAAATAGTATTAGAATTTTAGTAATGATCATGGTAATGTACGTGTACGTGTTAATTTTTTCATTACTTTGTTTCTAGGCAGAGCATTCTTCCTAAGTGCTTTACAATTAGATTTCAAAGATGATCCCTCTGTTTAAAATAGACACTTTAAACCATGGAGGTCACTCTGTTATCAGGACACCTGCCTAAAAACCTGCTTTTTCATGATGTTTTTAGACATGGTAAAAGTTAAGAGCCAGTCTCTGAGGAAAGTGTTATCAAAGCCATCCTTTGGGAGACCAGGTGGCTTTCCTTACCCCAGCGTCCTTTGTAATTTTTAAAACTCCTGAGCTTACCCTGAATCTTTCATTTGAGTGCTTCTTAATAAGCCCATCTTATGCTGTCTCTGATTTGGCACTCTGAAAACAATGTATTTTTCTTTAGAAAAGATTAAACGTGCATTGGTTGGGATTCACAGACCATTTCTGACCTGCCAGGCATGACTGTCTGTCTTCACATTTTTGTTGAGTATTCATTCACCTGGGTCAGGAGGAAACGGACCCAGGACATGTCTTCTTCCTACAGTTTTGTGATCATCTTAATGCTTTATATTCCATAGGGTTTTGGTAAAGTGATTAATAGTTGTGATTCACAGACATGATATCTGTGGTTCCAAGTTTCGATAAATGTGAACATCTCTTTTCCATAGAAAGCATAAGCTTTCTAGCAGATTCATTTTTGCCACCTGAAAAAATCAAAGGTCTGTGCCTCAATCTTATACCACTAAAATGTGTTTTCCTCTTAAGTTCATGTTTGTAGGGCAGTCTTGAGTGTAATCTGGAGCTGCTTTTATACGTGAACATTGAAGTGGATGAGGTGCTGTGAGATGGGGGGGGAGGCAGTGAAGAGAGGGAAGAGTCTAGATTTGGAGGCCCTGGGCTTGCATTGGGGATCTATTCCTCCTCCTTCATGTGGTCTCGGGCAGTCCCTTCAAGTATCCGGGCCTCAGCTTTCTTCTCTGTCAGGGGAGGATCTCGAAGAACCTTTTCCATATTAAATCTATGATGCTCTTGGGCTATCTCTACCATATAGTGAGAAGGCAGATTGGGATTTGTGAAGAAAGGAGCATTGAAGTGGAAATCACCAACTGAAGCTTTGAGTAACTCCTCCCCCATTTCTTAAATGTATGGCCTTGGATAGCTCCCTTCACCTCTCTAAACCTCAGTTTTCTCATTTCCAAAGTGGAGATAACAGTATTTTCAGTCTCTGCCTTGCTGGGCTGTTGAGAGGAGATCCCTGTGTAAATTGTAAAATGTTATACACATGTGAGCTATTACCAGACACAAACAAATGGACATACCAGACTTATTCTTAGTGTGAACCTTAGGGACTAGAATAAATACAAGGAATCTCCATTTCATCCACCCTTGGAGAAGAATTCACATTCCAGGGGCAGGTGAATGGATACCAGAAGGCAAAGGCTTGGGAACTGTCTTCTTCCACCACTGTTGGGTCTGCTCTGTGCTCTCTGCCTTTGAGACTTCTCCTTTGACTTGCTCTCAGAGTTTTTTGTTCTTGTCTTTGGTAGGATACTCTGAAAAATGAGTATATTTTGCTCTGTGATGCCTCAGCTCAGTAACTCTTTTGGGGGCTCTGCCTGTAGAAAGGGAAGTATTTTTGGATCTTAATTCTTCATCTTGAAATAGAAGTGTTGCAGGGTAAGAATTTGCAGCCAGAGGTCATCAGGGTTAGCTGTGCACAGTGAAAAGGCATTTTATTTGATGTTTTTCTATCTGCGAAACTTGATGGTGGCCAGGAGCCATTTAGCATTCCATCAGCAAGCAGTTACTAGGAACCTACTGTGCAATACAAAGACAAACCCCAAGGATCTCAGGTTCTGTTGGTTCTGTATTTATACCTATGAAGACATGCTACCTATCCGTGGACAAAGTAGGTACAAGATCATTTGGGGTATGATAAGGAAGAGAAGAATCTCACAGGCCTCGTGTCACTGACACTTGTCATTAAACATTAGATGATGCGCTGTGCCGGGCCCTGTGCTGAGTGCTGGGAGTACATAGAAAGACAGAAAGTGGGCCCAGCCCTGGAGGAGCTTTCAGCAAACACCTCTGACCAAGTGGGATTGAGAGGGGCTAAACTGGAGAGTAGCTGAGCTTTGAAGGAAACTGAGGATTCTGAGTCGGGATGGGAGGACCAAGTGCAAAAGGAAGGAACGCTGGCATTTAAAAATAAACACACTCCTTACAGAAATTAGGTTCTGATATGTAATTTAAACACGTAGTACAGAAAGTGGTAGGCAAGGGATAGGACCTTGGCTT